CCCTACCTAGCCGGGCGAAGCTCACGCAAAATAACACGCAAAAGACCGCAGATGGAATCGTTGCTGAATTAAGCAATAATATTTCTTTGCTAATGTAGCAACAGATTTTTTTTTTAAATATAAGTAAGCAATGATTGCAGCTGCGGCAGTCTCTTTTATTTTCAAGCATAGGGAAAAAGAAGTGCGTGCCTGAAGTGCGTGCGGAAAAAACTAGTGGCAAAATTCGAAAATAAATTAAAAATTTCCGAAAGCAAAATTAATGTGCGTTTACAAAAAACAAACACAAGCTATTCTTTAAAAAGGTTGAATGTTGTAATGTGCTTCTTTTTTTTTTCTCCTGCCGACTTACCTGCGCTGGAGTCGCCCGAGCCGATGACGGGGGACAGCCGCGGCCGCTCCTCCTCCAGCACCAGCTGCTGGCTGCGCTCCCAGAGCGCCCACACGGAGCCTCGGCACTGCAGCCGCGCCTTGCCGTACTGGAACGAGTCGGCGCCCATCTCCAGCTCCAGCGCCGACACGACCGTCATGCGACGGGCCTCGTCCTCTTGCGCGGCCGAGAAGCCGCCCGTCAGCAGCTTGTTGGGGTTGGGCGCGCGCAGCATCAGCGGCGTGGGGAAGGACCGCTCCGACGAGGAGTTAATCTGCAAACAGAAAAAAACAAACATAATCTATCAATTCATATTCTCTAGTAGGGAAAATGAAGATCAAGAGAGCAGCAGTAGGTCAACGTCTGCTTCCCTTATCCCAAAACCGAGAAAAAAAAAAGGTAAGTCGAATGAATCAGAACGTTGGTCTTGTAGGAAAAGAAATGCGCATCACGTTCATATTACAAGCCCATCACAAAATTTTAAAATATACGATTAGAAGGCACAGGGAAGAAATCAACCAATTCGCAGGAGAAGTCATCAAGAGCGATCTTTTAAAGTTGCATGCGTGAAACCGCTCAACTGGCTGCACCTCGAGCTGCGATAAAACGTCATCTTTCCTCAAGCTGCAACACGACCTTTAGTTTAAATTTCACAGTGCTCTCTTGTTTAGCCCAGGCCAGGGTGCTGAGCGCCCTCGCCCAAGCAGACACGCACACGAAACCTCCTCATGCGCGACGACGACCCTTTCTTCTAAAGCGAATACGAATGACTGCTGACCCCCCGGGTGGACGGGTAAATATGACCCCGTCCGTATAGCACCCCATCACGTGGTGTGTGGGTGTGTTCCGTGGACGCACGTCAGCCTGGGACGTGACAGAGGGAGGAGTCTGTGTGTGTGTGTGTGTGAGTGAGTGTGTGTGTGAGTGAGTGTGTGTGTGTGTGTGTGTGTGTGTGTGTGTCGCGCGTTGTGTTCCCACACTGAAGTCTTGTGCTAACAGATGTACTGGAATGTTGCGCGGGGCGGGGCAGGACTGCCGAGCAGCAGGGCCGCTCCACCCGTTGGGTGCGGCGCGGCGTGGTGCGGCACGGCGAAGGTAAATCGTTGCGGTCTTGCAGACATGATGGCACGCACAGCACAGCTGAGCAGCAGGCATTTAGCGGCAGAGAGAAGTCCGCCCCCGGTGGTGAAGTGGGGAGTGGAGGTCCACAGGGAGGGGGGAAGTATGAAAGGTTACATTGCGAGTTCAAAGCTCTCGCTCGCCGTTCATTAAAATAGTTGTCAGTGCTGGACCCTCTCTGGTCTATGACGAAAAGGAAAGGAATGTGCTGTATAAGACGTAAGGCCTGCATGCAATGGCCGTCTGTCGTCACACACAGTTTCCACCCCCTTTTGCCGCCAACTAAAAGCACCTGTTCTGCGAACTGTGTGCATTCCTTCCTCATGTGTGTGGAATGCTCGGCCGCGCGACTTGTGACGCGTGCTCAATTACTCCCCCTGCCCCTTCACCACCCCCTTTCCCCTTTCCACTGCAGCCTGTAATTTGCCGTTTATTACCCGGTATGAATTGTCCCCCGCCCTTCCTCCTCACCCGCACAGCCAGGCTGACACATCAAATAATACGTTAATTTTATTACACACCTGGAAAGTCGTAAAGGAAATAAAAACAAAAGTGCGACCGTGGTGTGAGTTTTGCTACGGTGGCGTGTGGCGTGATACGCTAGCTATGACTTTAAAAGGGAATTCCCTCCCACTGAGTTGGACCCACAGCTCGTTCGTACTCTGCTTCGTCTACACGCAACCATCCTTTTCTTTCATTTCCGCTCTTCACGAAGACACCTCGACAAGGTTTTTAAATTTACCGCACCGAGATTGCGCGAGGACAAACGGGCGTCCTTTGTTTCGTTTCGCGAGGGGATTTAGAACAAAACGCAAACCAAATGTTTTCGAGACCAGTGTGTCACATACCCCAAGAACCTGCTTCTGGTGCTGGCGTTTGCTGCAAAACGAAACGGGAAGAACACGACGAGTGTTGTCTGGAGTTGTTTTTTTTTTCGGTGAGAAGGGAATAGTGAGAAAAGGTGCCGGGTGTAGATAGGAAGGGGATGTGAAAAGCGGACGAGAGCGAGCGGGGCCAGAAAAAAGGAGAGAAAGTGAGGGAGAGAAGGTGAGGGAGAGAAGGGGGGATGGGGGTGAGAGTGAAAAAGAGAGGGAAAGAGGGTGAGAATGAGGGAGAGCTAGAGAACGCTTGTGGAAGAGCAAGAAAGGTGTGGATAGAGTGAGTTTGAATACCGGGAGATTTCTCCTGCCGCCCGTGGATTGCATTTTTGGTGGCAGGAAATTAAGGTGGGTTGGTGGGGAGCGGCACGATGCCGGATCAGTGCACACCTCACCTCCTTCCTCAATCTCGGCACGACAGCGTGGCGGCTGCGACACTGTAGGCCGAAGCTGCCAGCTGCGAGTACCCTCCAAAAATTAACAACAACACCATAATCGGCGTGTTACTTTTCTCAACTATTGTACGTTCTTAATAGACGCTTTTCCTTGAAATATAGACTGCTACAGATCCTAGCTAGGTTTTAAACAAACGGTTTTGATTCTAAACGCAAAATTTTGGTCTCCGACAAAAGTTTAGAACTTGAACACCGAAGTGTTTCATAGAAAAGACCATTTATTCTATATAACTGAAGCCGTAAAGTTCACACTACTTGGATTTCTATCTTTTATTTGTAAAAATTTAAGCATTCACATTTATTGGACACATTTCTGCGTTGATTTTAGCACTTTTGTGCGCATTCGTTTGTAGAATATCATTCACTTTGGCGTAAAAATTTGTGCGAAACGAAACGTAGGTTTAACTTAGTGCGACCATTTGCACAAAATATACACATACATTTAGTGTGTTGAAGGTGGAATTGACCGACTCCAAGAGTTATAATCCCCTATCGAACTTTGTGGAGCGGGCGGAGAAGCAATTAACCAGAGTCAATCCATGCTGTTCGCTGAGTGTGATTGTCTCACCCACAACGTAACCACATGCCGTGCTGATATCAACCCTACTCAGTACAGAGCAAACCCTGATTCATGTCAACTCCTTAAACGTTGCTGTGGATACTGTACATTACTCCTTTTAGCGGGTTAGTTTGCTTGCCTGCGACACGTAAAACAAAACTACTGGTTTTGCAGATTTAGTCGCACAGTGAGCAAGGGGGTACACACAAAATTTTGGCTTGAGTTGGGTTGGAAAGACTGGGCCAAGCTAAGCCGTAAGTCATACGGATGGAGGCGAAAAAAAGTTTGTTAAATCAGCTTTCCAGACCGAAAGTCGAGGAGCTCCCGAGAAAGCGATACTTATAAAAGTAATTCTTTTAGTCGTTTTTGGGACATTTTCAGAAATCTCTGTCAACTCAAATGTGTACATAGTACACATTAAAGAAAGTGTACATGGCATGTATGCTCTAATTAATGTGTACATGGCTATGTACACATTTATAAACGTGTACATGCCCATGTACACATCTTTTAAAGTGTACATACAACCGTTAGTATACATGCCATGTACACACCTTTTAATGTGTATATGCCTATGTACAAATTTATAAATGTGTACATGGGCATCTACACATGTATAAATGTGTACATAGCCATGTACACATTAATTAAAGCACACATGCCATGCACACTTTCTTTAATGTGTACCATGTACACATTTGAATTGACAGAGAAATCACTGATTTCAAGTGATTTTCGCTTTCGCAAACACAGCTGTATTAGACTGATTGAAACATAACTCTATTCGGGCAAAAGGATGACTATCCTTTACAGTGCACGTGTGGTTGCGCCGTCGGGGTAGAAAATTAATCCGTGTATGAAGCTCATAATCGGACGCAAAGCCAGAAAGAGGGAAATGATGAGACAAAGCAGAGTGAGCACATTCGGCAAGCAGATCCGCTCGAAACTCGAGTTTCTGAAACGTTGACGGGTTCACATGGAGAGTTTATGAATAGGCTTAAGGCAATAAAAAGAGAGGCTTGCACCTCTTCAAATTCAAATGAAAACCCAATTACTGACTATTTCAAAGCCTGCGGTAGGGCCGACGTTGAACGCTGCACTCTACACGATTGCCAGGAGCAATCACGACGTTCGCATTCGTGTATAAATGATCGAAGCATAACGATGGGCAGCGAGATCAGTACAAAACCTCAGCATTCTAACAGCAATTAGCATGTCTCGCTACCACAGTTTACTACCGGCGGGTGGCGGCTGTACGGTGATGGTCAGCAAGCCAAGCAGCAGAGTGACTTCCCAATTAACAGCCCCACTCGAAACACATCCCGACCAAGGGTATTTGATTTCGACGAGATAAAAGCAGCGACCCCGTCTCCTCGCCCCCTTCTTGGCCGACTGCTTTCAGCACTGCCCTCGAATAAAAGAAAAAATACAGGCTCAAAAAGGAATTAGAAACGAATGGCCTTCAAAAGGATCTCCAAACCTTGGACCCTAGCTGCCGAGGTCCAGAGGTCCACCCAACCGAAAGCAACCTCTCCGCTTTTTCCCAGAAAATAATTCCAAAGAAATAAACAAGGACCGATAAGTTTGCACTTTTTGTATGTCTGTACGTGTGTGTACGAAAGAGAGAGAGAGAGAGAGAGAATGGAAAGTGGGCTATGCTGGGGAGATACAGCGCAGAGACACTGCAAAGGAGATGGGCTGACGCTGCCCGCTCGCTTCTCTACCTCTACCCTGCTCTCACACTTTCTGGTAATACCTCCGGCATTCATGACGAAATTAATGTCCTTGTTATTCCAGGCGCCGGCGGCCCGGCCACACACTCTCATAACCCCCTCCCCCTACAACCACCCCGTTCCCTCCTTTCATCTGCTCCTCGCCCCCGTCCCCTTCCCCGAGCTCCCCCACGCAGCAATACAGATTTATGGGTGTAATTTATACGCAAGCAGGAGCATTCAAATGATTTAAACATGGCGGCCCAGTAGCAGCAACGCAAGCAAGTTTGAATTTCACCTTTCGCGCGATACGCATCCCCTTGCGACCGTCTCTCTCTCTCTCTCTCTGCCTTCTAAAACACACATTCACACACAAACACGCTCGTGCGATAGCCCTTCTCCTTCCATAAACTTTTTAAGAAAGATAGTTAATTAATTTTAAATCAGACACAAACACGTTAGGTAAACGCAGCTGTTACTCATAAAAATCAATTATGGAATAAACAACAAAATGTGGTTGTTGACAGTCCCACCGAAGCTATTACGTTGGA